TACCACTCTTCATACTCTGGTTATGAAATATTTTTAGTTGATTTTTTTTTTCAAGCCATAGCTTTTCCCTATATGGGGCAAGAAAAAACTTCACAATTCTCATTTGTAACCATTTCACATCAAAGCCAATTCAAAGCACTCATGTTTAATCGTCCATCGCTGAAATCAAACTTTTTTTCCAACTTGAAGTCATTTCAAATTGCAGTTTCGCGTAAATCATTTCCTGATCTCTGAGCTCGTGGATCGTGCAACTTTTTTTTATATAAAAAATGGCCACAGTTTGATCCAAGTTAGCTTAGTTTGAATTAAAGCAAAAACATCTTTTAAACCGTTTCCATTATTTTTCTATTATCTCCTGTGATAATCCTCTATTTCGATACGATTGGTTTTCAATTGTGACCAAGTTTTTATAATGAGCAATTCCAGGAGTCCTCTAATTAGTTATAAAAAACTTCTTTGACAACATCGGAACGATTCAAATGGTGTAGTTTTGCGTCAAGATGCAACACAACTCTATTTTCTGACCAAAAATGTGGCTTTCTATAGCATTTTTTTGTATATTTTGTATAATCTACTAAATTTGTTAACCCTGTTTGGCTAAAAAGAAGTCCAGATGACTTTGATACGTAGTCTGCCTGAGCCAAAATGTAGAAGCTCCAGAAACGCATGAAATTTATTGACCACAATGCTTCGAAAAATGAATTGAAAAACAGACGAACATACAAATTTTGAAACAACTGATCCTATTTCGAGACAATGTTTTTCATGCATTTGGTATCTCCCTATCTCGATCCTGTCTTCAGAATTTTTTCTTTTTCTCCCAACTTGAAATTGACAATTCACACTCCATTTTTTGGCATTTTCAAAAAAAAAATAACGAAAATCCAACGAAATACTTTGAATCCATTTGAATTCTCAAACTGCGAAACTTAAACCGCTTTTTGTTCTTATCTTCATATTCATTATTTTTTTGCATCTAAATTTGTTTTCATTTTTTTTTTCATATATATTTTCTAAAATTCACGAGTCATTTGGTAAAAAAAAAAAATTTAAAATGTAAAGAAAAATAATCTAGGACATTCCATGTAATAGCCGCAATATCGCTCGAAAAAAGTACATGCAACAGCACATTTTGAGACACATTCCTTTCAATAAAACTACACACATGATTCCCTCATACTAACACAGACACACATACACACACACTCGAACGAAAGAAACACATACACACATTTTCATATGATATGTTTTGTAAATATTTTACATCATTTCACTCTGTCTCTCTGCCCTCCCTTTTGTCTACGGTTGAGATATTCACGCTCTTAAAAACAATTTAGCAACAAAACACTAATAAATGATCATGGCGATAAATGAGTAGCTAACACATTTGGCTCTGTGTAATCGAGAGCTTGGACGGCCGTGTGTGTTTGTAGGCACGCGCACACGCCATCGCTCAAATTGATGCTCATGGAAATAGAGGACATTCTGGTGCGATGATGGTGAAGAACTGCTGAGATTGTTGTTTGGTGTGAATTCGATTAAATGGACCAAAAATGTGGCATTGGACGTGCATGGGGATGGACTTGTGTTGCACGACCCCCATCGTGTCGTATCGGATTGCGGATAAAACACAACTTTCTATGACTACAATTAGTCGTGTGGATAGACATGTTTCGGGGATAAAAGCTTTTTTTCCGGTGGTGGATGATGACGACGACGACGACGACGATGGCAACGAGTTGAAAGGATGAAAATTTGATATGGCCCAAATGAATGGCTCGAAAGTAATGCCAAAATGTATCTCTCCCTCTCAAACATATACACACACACACACTTGCCACATGCACGCGCACACACGACAATTTATCGATTCGACATACAAGCAATTATTAACCGGTCCCCAACGAAAATTTGTTCATGTTTAAACTTAACCAAACACTACGCTACTTCCCGATCCATTAAAACAAATGCAGCGGAAAAAAGATATGAAACGAACAAACTAGACTATCACTTCATACCACACTTGTGTTCATTTATTCATTAATTATTCGATTTGCGTTCCGTTACCGCATTTGCGTTGTGCATTTTTGTGTTTTTTTTTTGGCTTTTCTTTCTCTTTCTCTATCTATCTCTGTCTCTATCACTCTTTCTATTTCGCTGTCGCCTCTTTCTTTTTTTGACCCTTGTGTAATCAACGAGGATGGTTGTTTTTATGTTATATACATTGTTGTTGGTTGTGTTTTTTTTTTCGCTTTTTGCTTTTATTTTATGCTTTATTTCGTATTTCATGTTTCAAGTCGGAAATTGGAAGAAAGGATATATTGACATGTGAATTGAAACAATTAGTCTACAAGAGAAAAACAAAGAACAAAAAAAGAAGAATAGAAACAGATAACCGAAATGAATAAAGGAAAAAAATAATGCTAAAAAAAACGAAAAGAAAATTGGAATAATTGAATTATTGAATGATCGAATTCGGAGCCAAGAAATAGTCAGTAAGTGTTCGGCAAAAATCATCGGAATTCAATATATTACGTTTTTGTTTGTTTAGTTCATTTCTCTCTCTCTCTCTCTCTCTCTTTATGTGTGTTTGCGTGCTTAATGCGATAGCGCGTGCCCTATATTGATCAAACTCGATTGGGTTTTGCCGTTCAGAGAGCGAAAATCTCTCACTCATGATGAGCTCGCAGCCGCACGCTGTTCAACAATGATGATGTGATTGTATGTGTATTCTGTTTCGCTTCCTGTTTTCATTCATTCCTTTCTCTCTTTCTCTCCTTTATCGAAGAGACTCACTTTGCATTGTCTCTGTGTGTGTGTTATTTTAGTATTTTTCGGTGTTTTTTTTCTCTCTCGCTCTCTATTATCATTACTCTAGATTCGAAATGTTTTTTTACAAAACGAAGTGAGCTTTTTCTTCAACTCAACAGTCCAACAAAATTGTGATTACCCCTCCCTTTGAACACACACAGCCGAAGTCTAACACTTGATTCAGCGAAAAAAGTGAACATTTTTCATTCAGCGAATAGAGTGAACATTTTGAACTCACATAAATTTCAGTTTTAAAATGCAAACCATTTTCAGTCCTCACACACAAACAAAAAACAATTTCATCCGCTGAATAACAATTACTTGCAATTTATGTGTGGTTACCACTGCCGCCCACCGCTGTGTCATACGTTTTTCTTTCAAATGACCGATTTTCAGTTTGTGTATGCGAAAATGACCGAGAGATGAAGAGTCATTCTCTTGTTCATGTTTTGTGTGACTATCTCACGTGTGACAACAATGACGCGTCATGTGGCTTTTCTTTGACAATCATTTTGATCCATGCCACATTTCGTTCACTGTTTACCTCTTATTCCACCCGCTGTTTTGTCTTGCGACAAACTCGCTCAGCTTTTTTTTCTGACTTCATGAGTGTGCCGCTCATTCTGACCCTTTTTCACTATTTCTCTCTGAATCTGTCTCTTTTCTCCCTTTCTCTCTATCTCTGTCTTTTTCGCTCGTTCTCTTTCTCGCTCTAACTCTTTTCTTCTCTTTTCTCTCCTTTCTCGAGATCGATCTCTCTCTCTCTTCCTTTCTAATGAGATTCCATTTTTTGCTCCAATGAATTTCCACACATTCTCGTCGCCTCTCGAATGAGACCGCACTCTTCCGATAGCTCGGCTAAACGCTGCTGATTTGTTTGTCGATTGTTCACTGCGGGTTTTGCTCGTGGTTTTCCCTTTTTTGAGTGTGCCCAAGTGTCGTTGGACTCTCATCGAGTAACCACAACATAGCTTTGATGAAACGGAATCGAAAACAAATTGAGCGCTGGCATTCACCTCTCCCTCTCTCTTGCTCGGCTGCGTTGGAACGGCCACAGAATAATGAGAAAACACATACACACAATCACAACATTTATATAGAACTGGGTTTACACACACCAAAGAAAAATATCTTCATTTTTAGTATATCAAAACAGTTGGCGTTAATTTTTTTCGTTTGTTTGTTGTGTTTTTTTCCGTTTTCTTTAGAAATCACATTATGCATATTTTCTTTTCGTTTGCTAAAAGAAAGAAACGAAAAAACAACTTTACTCTGTTCGTGTTTTCTCTTCTTTTTAGTTTTTTTTTGGTTTTTCCGTTTCATTGTCTCGCATTGAATTTTTTCGGCCAAACGAAAAACAAACAACGACAAACCACTTTGATTCCTTGTCATGATCGGTCGAAACACTAAAGTAGCTTAATGTTGTCAAATTTAATGGTTTTGCATTAAAGCGAAATGTGATTAAAATTTGCCAATTCACCGTGTCCATTTCATTCCGCTGCTTTTTGGAGAACGAAAAGATTTTCCGAACAAACTTTTCTTTTTAGCAGAAAAGTGAATGTTTGTCTAAAGTCGAAGGCTAAAAGTGGTTTGTCAGTTGAATTGCGGCCAGAACACTTTTGTATGGATGCGGACTAATGCCGCTGTGTTGCGCGCGCGCAAGTGAACTATAAGTAAATTGTTACAAGTTAATTGTTATTAACTCACGCGCACACAATCCAAAAAAAAAGAAGATGTGTTCACCTCAATGTAGCATGCTTGCGATCCGCGAATGATCACACACATACACAAACACAAAAACACGCGATCGATTACCCGACATCCAAACAAAAGTGCCCGATCATTTTTATTTTAGATGACGTTTTTCGTCTAGCGAAACCAAAAACAAGTTTAAAATCAAAATCGAAATCATTTTTATCGTTTGTCTCGTGTATTCTCATTTCGTTTTCTTTTAATTTCATCTTCATTTTCTTTTGGTTTTTCTTGTTTGAATTTGCATTGCAATATTGTTTTTTTTCGATCATATTTTCATTTTTGCTAATTTACAAAAAAAAAAAAACGATTTCATACCCAAAATCACAAAATCAAAAATTAAAAATCATTAAAGAAGCAAAAAAAAAAAAATTAAAAAAAAAGAAAACAGAACCATGCATATTGATTCGGGAAGATATTGAACTGAATAATTTCAGATGTTGAACAGTTCGTACAACCTCAATCGACTCGGAAGTCCAACGGCTGGTGATTTAATAAATACGTCGGTGTTTGATGCGTGCGGAGGTAGTGGAAATTATTTTAAGCCATCGCCACCATTCAATATGTACGATCCGGATTTGCAATCGTATACGTGCAATCCATTGAACAGCGTTCACCATCATCATCACAGCAGCACCACACAACTGCCACGTCGTCGATATAGTATTGGTGGTTTGCCATCGGCCACCACAAATGAATATCTAAATTTACAGCATCAAACGATAGTGGCGGCCGCTGGTGATGCGCATCTATCGAATTTATTGAACGAGGCCAAAACATCGATCACCCGATCATCGCAGATATTATCGCGTGGCGAAGATTTAAGCGGCGATATAATGCTATCGGCTGCGGCCGGCGATGTAATCGCCGACATATCACATCGTCATCATCATCATTTATTGAATGGTGATCTTGATATCACCGGTGCCAATATACTAAATCAATTGCCGATCACCTATTCATCACAGCCGAATATTTACTATTCACAACCGAATTACACCAACAGCCATATGTCAACGGACATGTATTTGTCTCGTTTTAAACGATCAATGGCACCAACGGCATATGGTAGCGGTGGACTGGGCGGCATCGGTTGTAATCCAGCCACCGGAGCAGCATCAACACTTAATTGGGGTGGCCAAAAATCACAATTCACCAATCCAATACTAACCGCATACACAAATCCCTATTTCAATTCAAACATTCCATCAAATGTGATGAACTATAATAGTGTCACTAGTCATTCATTGCCCTACAATAGTTACAATCAACAACAACCACCACCACCATCACAAATGTACCATCATCCATCGCAATCCATTTCCACGTATCCCAAATACAATCAACCACCACCACCATACAGTAGTGTATTGTCCAACACACAGCTACACCAACAAACACAACCACAATATCATCGGCCATTACATTATACATCCAATCCGGTGATATCACAATCATCGAATTATTATTTTAAACATCCCACCCATCATCAATATCATAGTAAAATTTTACATCCAAATCATGCAGCGTCGATCGCTCAAACGTCAACATCCGCCTCGTATTTACACCATCAAAATCAGCATCCATACAGTGGATACTCGAATCAACACTTTGATCATTTGAATAATAGTAATTGCTACTCGAAACTAGATTTAGTAGATTATACAAAACAGAGCGAACAAACTAAGCGACAAGTAAGTTTCAACATTGACGTAGATACTTTATCAATTACTTCATAAGAACACAACATTACCAACAAAAGTAATACAAAAAATAAAAAATCAAACCAAAACATATATACATATATCTCCTCATGCATATTATAATAATTTGATTGATATATGTGTGTGTTATATATTATCTATTGATTGATTGATTGATTGCTCTCAACGTATTTGTTTTTTGTTTCGGTTTTTAATTGCTTTTATCGACTTATATTAAATATTATACCAAAAAAAAAAAAAAACAAAACAAAACGAAACCAACAAAACCAAATATATTTCGATGTGTGTATATTTCTTAACATGAAGATGAAAGAAAGACAACAAAAAACACAAGTAACAGTAACCGTATATCAATGAAAGAAAAAAAATAACAACCAAAAAACGTCAATTGCAAATGCGAACCGAACACAAATATCAATTTTAACATGACAATGAATTTAACAGAGAAAAAACAACCACACCATCATTACCATATACCATTAATATATAGACCGAATGCCAATTAGCTAAACACTTAAACAAAAACATGTACCAAATGGCAACCGGAATGAGTACAAGATTATTTTTTAAATAGCATCCCTACGCTCGCCCGCCCCCAAAACAAACACACAAAAACCACTATATCTATATGTATTTTCATTGCATCAAATCCGTCTCTCTGAACACCTCTTCAAGTGACAGCAAACAACAACAAAATATCTATCTATCTCTTTCTCTTTCACTCTCTGTCTCTTTCAAAATCTATTCATTGTTTGATTTGCATTAGTGTTGTTAACTCTCAATCGTTCGCTCGTTTCTTTTTTTCGTACTTTTTCCGTTCGTTCGTTCGTTTTGTTGTTGTTGTTCTTGTTGTCGTTATTATTATTACTATTACTGTTGTTAGTGACATCATTTCAACGTTTGCTGACTTTAGTAGAATAGTGTGCCATCTTAAGCATCTTTCGTGTTGTGTGTGTGTATTTTTGTTCTTCTCTCTCTCTCTCTCCTCTCTCTACTGCAATTGGAATTCCATTCGCCTGCAATGCATCATTCTCTAGCATACTCAAATATAAATCACCTAGTAGCTAACCGCTTTTTCTTCGCAAATTGATTTTCCTTTCTTTCATTGTCTCTCTATTTAGTGTGTCCTTGTAATTTGTATCTTAACCTTAGAGTCAATTAGAAATGGATACTCTTCACTGACATACCCACAACCCAATTATTTTCGATTCAGTTGTACAGTGTACAACTAGCTCTGACGAGCTGAACAGAAAAAGAATCATTGCGCTACGTTTCATGTAGTGCCGAGAATTATCACCACGACACATTTATTCAATGCATTCATTCGACGACAAATTAAATTTTTTGTTCCACGAAAGACACAGCTTTTTGAGACAAAGATTCTTTTTTGTTCGATGAAGAAAGATATAAGTTTTCGCGATAAAAATTTGATTTTAGCTTTATTCAACGAAAGGAAATTTTTTATTTGAAAATGATTTTTTTTTTGGCATATGAAGAATTTGAGGGAAGACAATTTTAGATTCGATCGAGATAAAATCAGATATTTTGAGGGACGAAAAGTTTTTTTTTCTCATTTCGGAGGACATTTTTTAGTTCGGAAGATTTTTTTAATTTGAAAAAAAAAATTCAATTCGATTTTCTTTCACTTCAAAGGTTTTTTTTTTGACAAATAATAACAAAAATTCGACGAAAATCAATGCAAACCAAAAAAAACTTACTTCAACGCATTTTGGATACAACGATCGCCAAATGCACACATTTTGTGTTCTAAACGAAAAAAATAAATAAACAAAACAGCCTTAAACGGTTTGAATGAATTCAATTGGAAATAAAAAAAGGTAACAAAGAGGGGAAAGTAAATGATGAGAATGAGAGAGTAAAAAAAGCATTTTTAATCTGTTTAAATTCTTATGACAATTGAATAAATAAAAATTTCTGATAAATTTCACATTTATAGACATTTAACAAAGAAATGAGAGAATGGTTCCGCTCTATGTATAATAGATATAGATATATATATTTTTGGCAGATTGATACAAGAGAGACAGACACACAGTGTCGCCTCTTGAATACCGCTGAGAAATTCAAACAGAAAATGAAGATATTTATTAAACACCAAAATTTAACATGAACTTATAGACTAATTAAAGAAAACCATTTACAAATGATAAAGTTCATCAGATGAACAAGAAAGAAGAATAAGAAAGAAACGATATGACGAATGTCTTATGTACGGACGGTGTGAGAGAGTGTAATAATTCACAAATTGACCTGATAATAACACATTTAATCAATTATTATATATAAATATATGCTAGAACATTGTTTGTGTGCGACACACAACGAATTGACGGACTGCACGGGTTCGTGGCCACTATATTGATGCAATTTTTTTTTTTCATGCATCACATTAACGACCTCCTTCCCAAACTCTTTCCGCGCAAATTCAAACTCTATTTGACGACGAATATTTTGATGAAACGAATTTGAGCCTCTAGTCGAACAAAAAATACATCGAGACACTTATTTAAATTCCATTTTAGAACGCCAAAATTTTAAATTAACCAAAAATTTAATAAATTGAGACATAACTTTTATTGAAAATTCTCAATTTTTTGAGAATGAATTTGAGAGATTACAAATTATTAGAAACAATTATGAATTTTAACAACAAAAAAAAATGACATTAACTCTTTTAGAAATTGTGAATATTTTTTCATAAAATTTATTAGCATTCTATTCTACTTGCATTGTTTTGCCCATTTTTCGATATAGACTTTTAGATTTATACTTAGAGTTACAATTATTGACATGATCAAAATTGGTTAGAATGATATTGAGTCGATTATAGACTTTTTTTTAACGGTTAATTGTTCCTTTGGACCGTAAATGATGGAACGAAAATTCATTGCTTTTGACCATGGTTTATCGCTATTTGAACTAGTTTCTTTCTGCTGTTTTTTTTTTGTTTCATTTGGTAAATGTTTTTCGATGGTAATCACCGATTTTCTCAAGTCGCTTCGAAGGTTTTTGTTTGAGATCGTTTATAGACATCTTCAAACTTTAGATTTTTCGAACACTCATTGGATTATTGGAAAGCTCATTGGATTGAAGGCTCACAATTTTCGAGATATTTTTAAAAAAACAAAACATTTGACATTTTCCAAGGTTTTTAGGACGATTTTCCAGACAAAACGATAAGTTTGAATTTAACTTCAGTTTCACTTTCAGTTTTTTTCTTCTTTTTCATAGAATTCTAATTCAATTTAGCTCTGATAAGGGTTTCATTTTCGAAACCATATGATTGTCAAATGACATTTGTTGGAATAAATCAAATGTTCAGTTTTGGGGAATTTAAAATTCTGATTTCATTGACAAATTCGATGAAAATTCCAACAAAACCGCATTTAGCCCAGAACAAAGCCGTATTTACTTGACTTTCTATTCCAAAACCCACTTATTATGGTTTTTCTTTGTCTAGACGTGCAGAAATCAGATTTTTATCCAAAATTCTACGTTTTTTTTGGAAAATTATATGACCCATCTTAAGTTTTTGACCTTGCACCACCATAATTTCAAAGCCATCCATCGATTTGTTTGATAATCCTTATTTTATCTTCAAATTTCCGCTTGAAATTGAGCCATTTCCGATTCAAAATAATTAATTCTGAAAAACTGATTGAGGCCTTCAGTTTGACGGTTAAAACCCGTTATTTTTATTCAGTTTAGGATTATCAGTCGACATTGCAATGAGTGTTGCTTCAAACAAATGAAGCGGTAAAATGGAGCTGAAACTGAAATGGAAACAATTCATTCATCTTGTTGCGCTAGTTTTTCCACTTTCTCTTTCGCTCAATCTCTCTATCTCTGTCACTCTCTCCGTAGCTATACGTCTAAATAAAATGCAAAGAATTCTATTCAACAGTTTTAAATTAGGTGCATCGCAAATGTTCCTTATTTATATCGGATAATTAGTGTGTTAATAGCAGAAAGGAATCCGTTTTTAATTAAAAAGAAGCGACTCGATTCAATTAGACCCAGAAACACGCACACACAAACGTGTGTGTGTGTGTGTGTGTGTTTGGGTGCATAGAAATAAGTCAGCTCGTTGCTTGCTCGAAGTGAAAAGTTTAGCGAAAGCGAAGAAGAAGAAAGAAAGCGACTATAAATGCAATTGACATTGTTTTCGGTTGATGAATAGATTTATTTATTTCATTTATTCGTAGCAAATATGTAGCCATCTAGCTTTTAGCATAGTTTCACATTCACATGACCTCTCTCAGTTGCTCTATTTCATTCACACACTCACACAAAAATGCATCATCATCATCAAAATTGAAACAAAACAAAAAGAAACAATATCACTGCATCTGTTCATAAATAGTGCTCTTCAGACTCCTGAATGGGAATGAAAAAAAAAAAATGCGAAGAAAAACGAGGGAAAACCCTATGCCAAAGCGAGAAGATGGGACATTTTTTGTTTCTTTTGTGCGTATGCGCCCCTGGGCCAACGTTTCGTCGCAATTGACAACGTAAACTAATGTGAAAAACAACAAAAACTATTTTGCAAAACTTATACAACAACAATAGCAACAGCTACAATATTAATTAATTAGAGAAAAAATAAACGAGCATTTTTGTCCGAACTGATTTAATTCTAGTTTATGGTGGTGTTGCTTCAGGTAATAAACACACAAAAAAAAAAACAACAATTCTTATATAGGTTATATATGAAACGAGACTTAACAAACAACAACCAAGTCAAGTTGAATGAATTAGTTCTTGAACAGGAAAACGCACACTCGCACCCAACACACGCACACACACACACACACACACCGACAGCGCGGAGAGATTTCTTTTTCTTCGTAGCTGAAATATCCTATTCTGCGTGTGCGTGTGTTTCGCTTTCATTTTTTAGAAGAAAAAATATTCTTTTTTCCGAGCAGAAACGATATTTGCCTTTGGAAATTTGTTTTTTTCTTTCAAAAATGGCTTCTTTTCCTTCGAAAATGTCTTCGTTTCCTGTTCTTTGATGTCTTTTGTTAACATTTCTGCAATAACGCTAATAATAATCTTATGATTTTTGCAATAAATCGAGTCTCACTTTTCAATGTTGATATGAATTTGAGTTTTTTGTTGAATTTTCCCCAAAAATGATTCGAAAAATTTCGATTCATGACATTTTTGAGACGTGATTTTTTCTAACTTTGAAAAATTTCCTTTTTCGAGTTTCAATTTAGTCAACGATTTTTTTTTCTTGAAGTGACGAGGATCGAAATTGCGTTCAGTTATTAGTTCAATTAGTTCTTTTCCCCATCAAGTCAATAAGCATTTGGCTATGGTCTTCATTTACACGATGTCGAGACTAACATAGAAAACAAAACTCTTGTTTTTCATAATTAAAGCAATTTGTTGCGACATAGACATTATTTGAGGTAAGATAACGAAGGTAGCCAGGTATAATACTGAGAGATAATAACCAACCATTCATTAATATACAAATGCTCCAAGACGTGGGACAATCAGTTCATTTTCAATTAAAAGACATGACGAAAATCACGAAACAATAAGAGAATGGCAATAATTCCGTGTATTGTTCATCTTTTATTATTCCGTTTATATTAGTTAACAACGTTACATTTTTAGCCTAGTGTTTTTTCGAGTTCAATTTTTCCCCTTCAACAAGACAGTTTTCGTCGTGTGTGACGAATGTTTACGTTGTAAAACAGTGAACTTTTCAAGGGCATCGCAGATCAAGGATTTTAAATTGAAAATTCTTGATGAAAAGCGATTTCATTAACCCTTTCGGGTCTACCATTCAATTCATCTTGACCGAATGGCCTGGAAAAAAAGCTCGATTTTTCATTTAAGATGCTGAAAAAAAAAAATCGAACATTATGAACATTTTACATGGAAGGTCAAACTTTGGGTAGACCAATTTGGATTTTAAACCTTTTTATAACGGATGGGTAGCAAATGGAGTATGATTTTTTTTTTGTAAAAGATGGGTAGAATCCACTGGATTAATGAAAACCAAGCTTTTTTGTGATGAAAATCAATCGTTTTTGCCCAAAAAGTTAGATTCATCTTGATGAAGCATCCAACTTTTTGCTTGATATTTTATCAAGAGTTTTCAAATTTACAAAGAATCTTGATACAAAAGGTGCAGACTGTTTTTTTATGTGTAGCCAAAAGACAAAGTGTTTCAGTTTTCTGTCTGTGTCTAGATTTAAATGGAAAAATTCACTGTTTTCTCCTCTTTTTTTTTTTAGATAATAAAAAATGCAATATTCGCTACCAGAGAGAACAAATAAAAGAAAAACTATTCATTAACTTGAACATGAGCCAATTTTACTCGATAAGCGTGTTAATAAAAATCATCAAGTGGATGAGAATAATTTAATAAAAGAAGCAACAAACAAGCAAACAAAATAAACGATACTAATATTTTATGATCAAAAAAAAGAAGAAGAAGAAGACCGTAGGTCGATTTAACCTTAATATATTTAAAAGACAACAAATTTAAATAATTTAACAAATAAACAAAAAAAAACGGATATTTTTTTCTCTTTTCTCTTATTGAAAAGAGCACGTGTGTTGAAATAATAAATATTTAAAAAAAAAATGAAAAATGCAATTCAATAAATTCGACTTAACAAATTGGATTTAACGATTTCTTTCTGGGTGTTTATTTCTTTTCCTTTGTGATCATTCCGCTGTCTTCCATTCTCTCTGCCTCGACGAAACCGAAAGAAAAAGCGTAAAAATCGAAAAACAAAAAAGGGATGCAAATCATATTGTTAATTTCTCGCTATTTTGTGGTCATCGTCTGTATTTTTATGTTTTTGGTTTTGTTTCGTACTGCAAAAGCAGCAATGCATCCACACCATCTTTTTTACCTATTTCGACCACTCGAATGAAATTTTTTGTGTATATAAAATCTGATCCATATATAGAATATCCTCCAGTCATCTCTCTCAGTCGAAAAATGTTGTGTTAAACAAACTAAAAAGACCGATAAAAACCGACAAAAACTTTTTTTTCGTCCACCAAGCATATATGTATTCTTTCTATCCAGTATCAAGTTCTGTGTATGCTGCAGTCGTAAACGAATCTTGAAACCAATTGCTGTTGAATCGTCCGTTGTTCCGTCTCTTTTCACTCACTCTCTCTCTCTCTCTCTATTGCTCTTCCTTTTTAAATGTTTCGTTTTATTAAACGTGTTGTTTAGCTAAGTTGAACCGTATATATATATACATATCTTTCTATCTCTTCTCGTTTTTCTTTCGTTTTTGACATTGTTTTTATTCTTCGGTTTTTCCATTCAGTTCTCGTTTTTTTTTTGTTCGATTCGTGTCTTTCGTTTGAACTCTTGAAATTTTTCAAAATAAAAGTACAAAAAAAACAGACCATTTTGCTAGCGTTTAAGTGCGAGTTTTTAATCATTCATTTCTAAACGAACTATCCCAATCCACAATATATCCACATCATCAATACAGTTGGACGAGTTTCGTTTGGAAATTCAGCGCCGTGATCAAGAAATATTGGCTATGGCAGCTAAGATGAAAACACTCGAAGAACAACATCAGGTGAGTCAACCGTTTTGGGAAAACATTTCATTTAGCATTTAAGTTGCATTTAATGCACCAATGTGTAATGCGGATTGTTCAACATAGAAAAAAAGTCAAGTTGCTTCCAAAAAAACACCTCCAATGTTAATTCACCTCTTAGGGTGAATGTGTATTGCACATATTTTGGTGTCAAAATATTGGATATGAACTATTTTGATGGTTTCTTGACGATTTGTTGAGTTTTTCATGAAATCCCAACCTTTTTGCTGGAAAAATCCTACTTTGTGCAAATTGATTGTGTCATAGATGCATTGAAACACCTCTTGTCTACCCGTGATTTGGCCTTTTTAGCTAAAGCATACCTTTTTTTCTTGCACATTCTCCAAAAACCGCTCATTCATATGCCTTCATTTTCCATAGGATTATCAACGCCATATAACCGTTTTGAAGGAATCATTATGCGCAAAAGAGGAGCATTACAATATGCTTCAGTCGGACGTTGAAGAGTTGCGAACTCGCATGGAAGAGAAGAATCGCTTGATCGAAAAGAAAACGCAGGCCGCTGTGCAAGCGGTTCAGGATCGTAATCGCGTTCAAAACGAATTGACCGAACTAAAAGATCACATGGACATCAAAGATCGCAAAATCAATGTGCTCCAACGAAAGGTGAGTGTTCTTGTGTGGAAACATTCCGACCAATCGATTATTTAGCCAATCGATTATTTTGGGACATAGTTGACTGGCTAAAAGTGATTAACCAGTACGAAAGCAATGATCATAGTTAGCTGCATTCACAGTGATTTTTTGGTTTTGCACTCGATTGTTTTGCCCAAACATGTTTTTCTTTTACATTTTTTTTTAAATTTTTCTTCGAATTTTGGAAAAAAAAATGGTTAATATTTTGACCCAAATTCTCACAATTCAGATCGAAAATCTCGAGGATTTGCTTAAGGAGAAGGATAATCAAGTCGAGATGGCACGTGCCCGTTTGTCGGCGATGCAAGCCCATCACTGCAACTCCGAAGGTGCTTTGTACAGCATGGAAGAGACACTCGGCGACAAGGATAAGCAAATGCAATTGTTACGCGATCAACGTGATCGTGCCGAAAAGGACAAAGAAGAGGAGCGTGAATTGCATGAGCGCGAAGTGACCGAATACAAATTGAAATTGCATTCGCTGGAGTGTGACATTGAGAAGTTGAATTCGCGTTTGGATCGCATCCATGTGGAGAAAGAGCGGCTGGAAACTCGTCTCGAGTCATCGCAAAGCGAACTCGGCAAATCAAAGGCCGAATACGACAAAGTGTCCGGTGAAGTGGGACGTAGCACCAGCGATTGGGAAGCAACCAAACAGCGAATGACACGCCTCGAACTTGAAAATGATCGGTTACGCCATGAGCTTGAGCGATCACAGGTAGGCATAAACGTATGTAGCGAACCCAATTTATACTCCTAATTTTATCTAGTTTTAGAACGTTTTGAGTTCTAATGGCATAGTTTAGTTTGGACTCTTGTGGATAAGACTCTCATGAATGATACTTCTCGAGTCTCATTTCGAGTCGAGTTCAATCAACGCCAATTCAATTAACTGCTGAAGGAATGAAGAGCAAATATAACACTCGATTAGTTCGAGCAAACGAATTGAGAACAAAAAATATGTTCAATTTTTAAAATATTGATCTTTGACATTTTGATTCGTTTTTCAAGCATTTCTTCAGTACGATTGACACTTAGCTTGAGCTTCAATGACACTAGTATTTACATCAGTTTGTTTAATCTAAATCAAGTTAGCTGATTTACTTCCTTGCTCGCTTTAAATCTTAATTTGTTTGATTTCAATCTGAAACTGCCCAATTTGGGCAGTGCCCAAATCCTTTAAATCTAAACAACACCAAAAATTTGATTTGCATCAATTTTGCAGACCACGTTTGGCCGATCGACGTTGACCACATCGCAGGAATTGGACCGTGCGCAAGAGCGTGCCGACAAAACGGCGGCCGATTTGCGTCGAACCGAAGCCGAACTGCGAGTCACACGCGTAAGTACTGAATATGCATTCTATTGGTATGCCATGTGTTCTTTTTTGTCGTGAACCTATTTGTGCAGAAGTGGCTATTCCATTGAAAATATAAACTCAGAATAAACAACAGCAAAAAAGTAAACAAGCAACAAAATTCCATCCAAAACCAAAACAAACCAAAGAAAAAAAAATGAGTCGAAATTATATATCGCCTTTTCAGTTATTTCATGCAATCATTTTTGTTGGTGAATGCCCCCTCCCCCACCATTTAGACATAGAATCTCATTCCATACATGAACTAATTAAAAACAACAACAACAACAAAAAAAACAGCTCCGTGTTTTTTTCTCGATTATGTTTTGTTTCTAAAGAAATGCCTAATCTGTTTTCTTTTAGGGAGCACCTACACAAGATTTTGTGAGTAGAAAACGCGAAATGAAAAACGAACGCTCTCAACGGCCAAAAATCACACACACAATTGTGTCACAATTGTATACAACGATTTTGGGCGTATTTGCTAGCGTGTTTGTTCTGTTTTGCACTCTCTCTATCTCTATCTCTATCTCAATCTCTAGCCTCATCTCTCTCTCTCACACATTTTTTGAATGTTTTCTATCTCTCAGCTCCTATTCTCTACCAGCTGTTTTGTTTTTACCACCATCGCCCTTTTCTTTCATTTTCTTTTAGTTTGCCCTCTCTCGTCTCTCTCTCATTCATTTCGCTCGCTCGCAGTCTCATGCTCTCAACCATTCCAACATTCCACCAACTTTCTTCATCATCTCTCTCTCTCTCTCTCTCTCTCTCTCTCTCTACACACATTTTATCAATTCGTTGGTTACTTTATTTTCATTTCGAATTTCTCGCTCTCTCTCTCTCTTCTTAGTCTCTCTATCTCACTCTTGAATAATGGGTTTTTGACACATTCTAACGGTCTTGTTACATTATCAATCGACACTTGTGTTTGTTTTTGACAATCTTAGCAACTTTCTGACACAAAACGAATTATTTTAGTTTTTTTTTTTGGGTTTTGGTCTTTTGTTTTCCTCCAAACTTTTCGGTTTCGTCAATGCACAACAATTTTAGTTTTGTTTGATATCAAAAAATACCGTAACAAAGTCATTTTCAATGGCGTGCAATTGCAAGAATAAAATACTTACAAAAATAGATAAAATACGGATATCCAATGAAATGGCTCATAGAATGCTCTAAATAATTCTTCGCTATTAGAACCTAACTAAATATTGGACAGATTAAAAGCAATCGAACTCAGACATGCGTACGCGCAACATTTTCAGTGACAAAAACGTAGCTTGGTCTCAGTCATTTGAAAGTTTGGAAATGAAAGATGAAGGTCTGAACTTCTTTCAAAACAAAACGAAGTCCGAAAAATGGTCTTTACTTCTGAAAAAAAAAATTCGATTTGAAAATGTAAGATAGGGAACAAATTGGAAAGCCTTCCATGTGCGAATCGCTGCGTTAGAGTGAAAGTGATGTTGCTCGCGGTTGACGTACATGTTCTTTGAAAAAATTCTGATTTGAGTGTCACAATTAATCCAAATTTTAATAGATGCACAGAAACTATTAATCTTTTAAACTGTTCCCATCTAAGTCGTTTTCTAATTCTAATAAATAATAATCTAAACATGTCCCACTGAATGTTGAACGTTTCCATGGGAAAATGTTCAAAAAGTCGACCGTTCAGTGGATTCAATGTGTTAAATGCGTATTCCGGTAATGTAATCGGTGTTGAGGATACAAACGGAACAGCATAACACCATCTAGGACAAACAAATGATAAAACAGAATAATAATAATAGAAGAAGAACATTGCTCTTATAAGATGAGCATATTTTTAGGTTCGCATAACTTATGCAAATTCAAACTGGGAATCTTATTATTCCGAAGTGTTTTCAAACTCAGTCCGTTGAATATCTAGAGCTCACTGAATTAGTATTCAGTGCAGAGGCTGTGAAATAAATACCAAAGAGAATCAGTACAAATTATTCGGCGACTAACCTGCAGAATAGTGCAGCAATTATAGTTGAGCATATAGCGATGGATTATCGTATGTAGTTTGTTGAATCGAAGTTTCTTTGAATTCGATTTTCTTTTCTTTCGAGGAATTCAAATGTTGAATTTCAAAACAAACTGAGAGCCTCGAAATAAACATCCTCAAAGAAATATTCTAAACAAATGTTCATCAGAAGTAAGATGAAAGAAACGAATAGTGAAAGAACTTTCGCATGAAGATAAAGATGCTAATGGCATTATGCAATAATGAGAAGAAAACAAGTCACGTTAGTTGACGCTGAGCAGCACGCCATTGAACTTTGTGGATATTTCATATCAAGCGATTTATTTGAATACACATACACAAACACACACTATCTCTCTCACTCTCTCACCTACACATAAAATCGTACGGAAATTTAGGAAGTTCTTAGAGCTTTTGGTGTATATTGGAATATTTGTGAAATTAAGATGGAATTATTCGATGTCAAGAAAAACGCAAACAAATTGCAAATCTGAAACAAGATCAAGAGATTTATTCATCGTATACCAAGAGCTTTACATTTCGACTATAATAGCATATTGTTCCAAAGCAATTCGAACTAGCGATTCTAACAATAACAAAAAAAAAATGCAATGTTTTTTGAGTGCAATGATTGGGTTTATCAAATCGTTTGGCTTCTTTATTTAAAAAAAACCGAATATATGCTCTGCTCTGCCTTGCTCTTATACACTTCAAATGCCGATAATTCAAAAAATAATAATAGAACAACCAATTTTATAGTTTTGGATTTATCTATCTTTTCGTCTGCCAAACCAAGAAATTTTCTTTATTCACAATATTCTTGAGATTAAAATAAAACAAATCGATATTGCCCGTTGCTCCCCCGTTTGTTTTTTAAATAAATTAATTATCCTAAATCCCCCACTAAAACCACCACCAACCACCAAAAACAACAACAAAAATTCAAACAAAAACTTATAACAAAGAATCTATTGTTTAACATTCGAACCACTTTCTCCATCACATATGTATATTTCCATGCCACGATGAAAAAAAAAAACAAAATTAAACGCGAACCGAAAACAAAACAAAAAATAAATCAAAAAATACAAATGCAAACGAACAAAAAATTAATAGTCGGATGCTGAACGTGCTCGTGCCGAGGCTGCATCGTTGCAAGAAAAGCTCGAGAAGAGCCAGGGTGAAGTGTACCGCCTGAAAGCCAAACTCGAAAATGCACAAGGTGAACAAGAAAGCTTGCGCCAAGAAATGGAACGTGTACAGAGTAGCGTACAAAGAGTTCACGCCGAACGAGATAAAGTAAGCCCAGAACACAAGTTCTATCTCATCTTTTTTTTTTTTGCTCATTCTCTCTCTCTCTATATTTCTTTCTTTGGTTCTTTTAACATTCTTTTCTTAAAAAAAAAAAAAATTTAAAAACAAAATCTGCAAACATATACAATTCAAAATCATTCCTCTTTTTTAACTTCTAATTGTGAACAAAACGACACCCAAAAACGGCCCAAAGTTTCGATATATACAATTTTTTTTTTAAAATAAAGAAAATGAAAAAAAAAACGACCATTTCCATCTTGAATGTGGTGTTTATTGCATGTTGAGTGGCCCTCCCCGTTATATTTTTTAGATGACCGAACATTTTGCATTCATCGTGTTTGAACAGAGATGTCATTTTGAATGAGTCACCTTTTTACCTTGCGACACACGACACATAATTATTCGCTTGATTGGAATGACTTAGACTATCTATTAGATGGACATCTTTTAGTTTTGCATGACAAAATTGACTTTTTCGTTCGACAATTACGGGTTTCTGTGAGAGAAAAAAAAATTGGTTTTTGTTTCAAGTCACATTCAAATTTCAAATGTTGGAAGTAGTGTTGGTGGTCGAACACTTAGAAACGCTTATTCTAAGTTAGAAACGACCGTTCAACATCATTGAAAAAATGTTTTGTTCGTTCGATCCTTTGCAAGAATTAATAGAATCTACAAAGATCCTTCAAATTTAAAAAAAAATTCAAATTTTATGAACAAAAATTCTTTTTCAATAATGTCGAACTCACGTTCGAAGCCAACACAACACTAGTTGGAAATTCCAAATCAAAACAAAATTCATGTCGAAAATTCGAATTTTAAACCAAAATTTGTCTCTGAATGTTGATTCGCGAATCAAAAAGTTGACTCATTCAACGGCGTTCGTTAGTGTGGATTGTGGCATAGAGACAGACAGACAGTGTTGTGGGAATTCATTCGCATGCAATGAAATCCCGGGTCTCATGCACCGTCAGATCAAAATCAAACTAATGAACTTTTTTCACCCAAATTTTTCAATCTCCCACCAAAACACACACACACACACACATTCTCTCTTTAGACCTTGACCGAATTGGAAAAATTGCGCGAAGAATTGGAACGATCACAAGCCGGTCTCGGAAAATCTCAATTGGCCCAAGAGAAGTTGCAAAATTCATTGGACAAAGCACAGAACGAGGTGGATCACTTGCAAGAGCGTTTGGATAAATCAACAGCCGAAGTGCGTCGCTTGCAACTAGAGAAGGAGAAACAAGCGTACGAATTCGAGAGTTTGCAATCACAATTGGATAAGGCACTTGGTCAATCGTCACGAGTGCAGAAAGAACGCGAATCGCTCGGATTGGAGATCGAACGGTACAAGGACAAAGCGGAGAAAGCACAACAGGCATTGACACGATTGCAGAAGGAGCGCGATGCATTGCAGGATGAAATCGATTCGTATAAGGAACGTGCCGAAAATAGTCAAGCAATGGCCGTGAAAGCGGTACGAGAGCGTGAACAACTGCAAACCGAACTGGAGGTGGTCAAAGAGCGTTGGGAGAAGGCACACAGCGTACACCAGAAATTACAGGTCAGTGAATTTAGTCGGATTTTTTTTAGATTAAATGTGCAATTTTTTAAACACTCTTCAAAATTCGACCTGTTGACCCATTTTTTGACTAATTTCTTGTTGGACCATCATTGAAACACTTGATTTTCACACCAAAACAAAAATTTCGTTTTCCCCTTGCAGATCGAACGCGACGATGCCTACACAGAGATCGATATATTGAAGGAGAAACTGGACAAGGCGTTGTACGCCAGCCAGAAATTGATCGATGAAAAGGACAGCTGGAACAAAGACTATGAGAAATTGCTGGAGAAACATGATCGTGCACAAAATGAAATTTATCGTTTGCAATCCCGAGTCGATACCACCGAAGCCGATCGTGCACGTTTGGAGGTCGAAGCGGAACGATCCACATTGGCCGCAACCAAAGCACGTGAAGATCTACGTAAATTGCAAGACGAAAGCTCTCGCTTACAAGAGGCATGTGATCGTATTGCATTGCAATTGGCCCGCGCCAAGGAGTTGGAAGACAAGGCCCGCGAAGAGTTGGAAATAAATCGTGAACGTTTGGAGAAGGCACAAAATGATGTGCGTCGACTGCAATCGGAGAAGGATATGCTTCAAACGGAAGTGGAAAAACTCACATACGAAGTGGACCGTGCAACTCATACAAATACCAAGCATTCAGCAGCAATGGAATCGGCTCAAGAAGAGGCGGCTCGCTTCAGTTTGGAACTGGACAAAATGCGCGATCGATATGAAAAGAGTCAGAGTGAATTGCGTCGATTGCAAGAGCAAGAGACATACGGACGTGATACTCGCCGTACGAAGGAAGAGAATGAACGGTTACGCGAACGATTGGATAAGATGTTGCTTGAATTGGATGCCATCAAAGGTAAAGCCGCCTACGATGAGGAATCACACTCGAAATACAAAGAAAAGTATGAATCACGTGAATTGGAATGGCAAAATCTGGAGACAAAACTCCATGAAACCACATTGCAATTGGAGTTGTCAAAGGCTGAAGTGGCCAAGCTAATTTCCAATCAAGACAAGCAACGTGCCGAATTGGAACGTGCTCACATTGAATGCGAAAAGGTGCGCGATCGTCACGAGAAATTGATCAAAGAGGCCGAACGGATGCGTCAACTTGGCCCCGGTGCCAAACAGAATGCAATCAGTCCGGGTGCAAATTCGTTGCCACAAAATCCAGCCGAACGCTCGGAAAATGAACGGCTGCGTGATCGCCTCGAAAAGGCGCTGCAGGTGAATCAACTGCTGTACAACTTCCTCGAGAAACACACACAAAATCAATTCCAAACGCGTGACGCCTCCGATTTGGAGTCCGGCCGATTGACCAAAGAATTGGAAAAAGCACAAATGCACTTGGCCAAACAGCAAGAGGCCAACGAATCCACACGGATCGAATTCGAACGCATGTCCGCCGAACTCAATCGATACCAGGAGCGTCTAGAGCGTTCGGAAGCCGAACGCGAAGCACTCAAAGCACAGCGTGGATCGCTGCAATCACATCAAGTTGAAAAGAATATCATGAAACTGGAGACTGACGCCAAACAATTGGCACTTGAACGGTATGTATGGCTGTGGCCATGGAATTTCACCCATTTCTATGGTTGACATTTTTTTTGGATGAAGAAAAAATAAATTCAAAATTAGTTCAGGGTGGTAATTGAACTTTTCTTTCCTCCCTCTCACAGAGATCAATTGATTCAACAATTGGAGAAGAGCCAAGACATGCTGATGAACTTCCAACAGGAACTCAATGCCACTGAACAAGAATTGCAACGACAACGTGAAGAAAATAAACGGTAAGTCAAGTCGAAAAAGTACATGTCGTCAACGACGTTGACTCAATATTGACTTTGAGCAAGTGCATTTTTCCTTTGACCATTTTGAGAGCGCCTAACATTTTTTCGATGATAAGAGCAAAATGGGGGGAAAAAATTCGTGCTTCTTTTTATCAGAATTAAACCTTTACGAACGGCTGATTTCTTTTACAAATCGCTTAATTTTTGCATTAACCTGACGATGTTCTTCGCCTCATTCGCAATCGTCTTCTTCTTATCCGTTTTCTACTTATTCATTTCCTTCTTCTTCGTATCGAAATAGGCTTGTGCAACAACACCAAGAGCTCGAAAAGAGATTACAAGAGGCTGAAAAGGCAAAACCACAGCAGCCGGGTCAACGCAATCTGCCGCCAACACCAGATCAACAGCGGCTTGTCGCCGAAATTAACGCACTCAAACAACGATTACAAGAGACTGGCGCTCGCAGCGAAAATGAAGTAGAACAATGGCGCAAAGTGGTCGAACAAGAAAAGGTACGTCCAACAAAAGCTTGAACAGATTTTTTCCCTTTGGTTTGATCAAAACCGTATTTTTTCATTTTGAGTTCGAAATTTGATTTGTGCCCATTTCATTGTGGTGTTTGGGCAAGTTTTTGTTGTGTTTGGGTCGAATAAATTTCGTCCTAAATTACAATGAATCAAAACAATTCAACGAAATTAATACAAATCATTCAATCAAAATCATGTTCAGAAAATTTAATCATGAATCAAAGTCACTCACATGAAAGCGAACAATAATAATTTCCAAAACCTATCCAGGTACGAGCTGATCAAGCCGAAAAAGCGGCAACAGAGCTACACAAACGTGCTCAAACATTGGAAAAGCAGCTGCAATCACACATGCAACAAATTGCCAATCTGCAACAACAAAACCAACAACTGGTAAGTCTGAACCGCTGAATAATTTCATTTAAACTACTGAATGGAATGCTTGAGTTTTCGAATTTCATTCAACTTTTTTTCTACCATTTTCCACTTACCAATCAGCAGCAACAACAACAGCAACAACAACAGCAACAGCCACAGCAACCGCAACAGCCAACTGCCCAAACTCAGCAAACTGCTCAAGAAATGGAAAAACTGCGAAAAGAGCTACAAACGGCGAATGTGGAACGCGATCGATTCGGATCGCAGGTAAATAATAGCAGTCAATCCTCGAGATGAGAATGTGGAGAACTTGACTCGACTTGATGTTGTATTGGTGTTCAACGAATAATAATGAATCCCATTTTAACTTTCTCATTTTTCTCATTTGCAGCTTGAAATGTTAGTACAAGAATTAGAAAAGAGCCAGGTAAATGACCACTTAATAGTCATCAACCATTTGAAATGGTCCAAAATTGAATGCAAATTTCAACTAATCATCTCTTTTTCATCACAGATGGATCTGCTCGAGGCGAATAACCAACTGAAAATTACCCATCAACAATTGTCGGCAGCCCAACAGGGTGGCGCAGCCAAAGGTGGCATTGATGAAGCGCAACGCAAAGAAATCGAAGCTCAACTCATACAAATGGAAGAGTTCAAGAAGCAATTGGACAACCAAGCAAAAGCCATCGAAAGCGAACGCAAATTGTTCGAAGAGCAAAGGTAATGGTGCCTTTTCATTTGTAACAAAAAAGTAATAAATCAATATGAGCAAAAATTCATGGCTATGGATTTGCTTGGAATTGAAAACAATGGCTTTTTCTTGGAATAAACAAAAAAGTCAATGTGAATTTTCATTTGGAAACTAATGGAAAATAACAATTGGTACAATTGCAGGAAAGCGATAGAATCGAAGCGAAAGGAGCTTGAGGAGAAAGAGAAGAAACTCATTGAATTCGATAGACAATTGCAGAAACGCAAAGAGCAAATGGACCAATTGGAAAAATCACTGCAAAAGGTACGGCATTTGTATGAATTAGGTCAACATCGGTGAACCGATGACTTTTGATCGAAAATCCGCGGGAAATACATAGAAATCTACGTTTTAAAATAAGTTTATTCTGATTTCTGGGTGCACCACCACTCATTATCGACTTGATGATGCATTTCTGGTCCATTTTCCGAGAAAAAAAAAAACCTTAGACAAAATGGGGTTAAGATGATGAATGGCCAACTAATAAGAAACTTTTCAATCGTTTTTAGGCTGGTGGCACTGCCGCTGCTGCAGGCGAATTAAACAAAAAACTCACCGATACTCAGCGACAATTGGAGACGTACGTACATTTGAACAATTCGCATTCGAATGGATTTCTTTGAAAAGAAAATTTCCGGATTATTTCTTGCTTTGTATTTTTTTATGCATTTTTCGGTCATTTCCTCGTTATTTGATTCTCCTTCTTTTTTATTATTAGCCTTGTTTCTCCTTTATTTTATTCTTACTTCCAGAATATGATTATTTTTGTTCAAAATGTAACAGTAGAGTTAGAAATAGCACAAAATTATTTTATGATTTAAAAACTCGTTTAAAACTGCAGCTTGTTCTAAAGTAGTTGATTTAATTAAGCAAAAAATAGAGGAAAAACGAATGAAATGAATAAATAACAATGTCGTATTTGATTACAGTGTTCAAAAGCAATACGAACAAGCCAAAGAAGAAGCGGCTAAAGCCTCACAAGAAACCGAACGTCTATTGCAAGTGGTGCAAATGACACAAGAAGAGCAAAACGCCAAAGAGAAAACTATTATGGACCTACAGCAGTGAGTATTTTGTACATTCTGAGCGATTTTTATGTGAAAAATTCACTTTTAATTGATTTGAAACGAGTTCTTTATTCTTTATTGATAAATGGCAATTGAAATTTTTTGAATAATAATTTTTTTTGTTTTTTCGTCAATTTCAGAGCGCTGAAGAATGCACAGGCCAAGCTGAAAGCACAACAACAACAGCAGCAACAGCAAGAGGTACGTATCTTCCTTTATTTTAGCCACCGATGATTGAGCTTAAACTAATTTGTTATTCAAATTGATTCATTTCGCAGGCCGGGCCAGCTGGATTCCTGAAAAGCTTTTTTTAAATAAATCCGAACGATGAATAGAGTGGTCCATAGTGAAGATTAGAGAAAAAAAAAATGGAAGCCCAAAACCTAACTGAATTATATAAATAGATATATAAATGTGCAAACGCAAACGTATGTATGACTGAAAAGAAAGAGAAAACTAAAATATTGGCGCTGAAGGATTAAAATGTAAAACGAAGCACTGTTACAACAGCAACAACAAACAACAAAAACCATCCAAATAATCGAATTCTTTTGAATCTTTTCCTCTGCTCATAATACTCATTTTAATCGAAAGTTTATTAAATTTCTCAATACCAAAACAAACAACAACAACATTGATAAAACTACCAAAGTGACTATGTGCACTTGATAATTTGTGTGATTTGATTTCATCATAGAGAATAGTTATGAGCATCTGTCACATACACACTCTCTTTCTCTTAACACAATAGTTTAAATTTATTGATGAAATTTAACAGAATCAACAACAACAACAACAACAGCGACTACTTTTACCCATTAAGCAAGTATATCCTTTACAATGGCCTTTGTGACAACAAACAAATCTATTCAAATAGACTCTAAGTGTAAATGATCAAAAAAAAAAACAAATTAATTTGAATATAATTTGCAAATTGTGCTAGCGTAAAGTTTAAAAAATGATGGATCAAATCAACAACAAAGCAAATGAACAAATATCTTAACAAATAGTAAATAACGCATAGTTAAACCAATTTCAAATCACGCGCAAAATGCATTTAAGCGACCCATCTATATTTTGCTTCGACCGCAACACATTTTTTTTAGCCACTTGCAACCAAAACCAAATGCAACCTGAACAAGTTACAATGAACATGAAATCGGAGCGCTTGATACGCTAGAGCATGCTCAATGAGAGAGATGCTGATAAGCGAGTCCATTTTGTTTCGAACGGTGCCAAACATCGGCAAGAAATGGTACGGCATCAGTTAGAAGTTTTTTTTCACGATAACGGATTTTGTTGGTAATTTTTTTTAACATTTTGGTCATTCTTTCATTTACAGGTAGATTAATAGAAAAAAAACGCTTCGATTATTTAACGCATGGTCGCTTGATAAACAGTTACTTTCGAAATTCACGTAAGTTTTAAATTCGAAAATGATTTTGAAATTGATCTCAACCTATTTTTATTTTTTTTTTCTTTCATTCTCCACAGTGCAAGATAATAATAGTAAAGTGCAGCCCGCAGCAAGTAAAATACGAGACGGTGATGATCCAAATGTGGGAAATTGCGGTAGCTAAGCAAGCAAAGGAACTAAAAACAAATTGTATTGTGTTAAATAGAAAATTAACCAATTTAAAAGCGCAAGAAAAAGATGGCAAAAAGAGCGAACTGTTGACATTGCCATAGACATTTTGCCTCATTTCTTTCGGGGCAATTGAATTCAATAGAATGAACAATCAAGTAAACGAAATGGGATGCATTTCCAGTCAATCTCTTATTCTCACTATCTCTCGATTTCTTTCTAAAACAAATGTGTCATATCATACAAATACATAAATAGAATCTTATTATAAAACAAATGAAAAAAAAAACATAGCCAAAACGTATCAAAGAAGAGGAGGAAGAAGAGAAGAAAGATGGATAAAAATAAATCAATACTTACAATCGACTTAATACAATCTACAGAGTAAAACGTCATTTCATTTTGAGAAAAGCATAAAAAAACACTTAAAAACAACCAAAAAAACAAATGAGATAGCATTTCGGGTTGATAAAAGCAAATCACGTGATCACGTATGGATGTCATCGACACACACTCACTAAATATTCCTATTCCATATCACAGCAATGCGATTTACATCGCACAATCAAACTTTCCCAATGTAAATAAAATCACAATCGCCGCATTTATTTTCTACAACAACAACAAAGCAGCATAGACGAGAGCGTGCGTACGTGCGCGGCCGGCATTTCGTGACGAAATGACGCGAAAATGCCACGTTGAATGTGTGTGTATAAAACAAACAGGGTCTCTGTACATAATAATGTTTCATGAAAAAAAAAAAAAAAAAAAAAATTCCTTCCCCCGGCAACATCTAAACCCAAGTCATTCAATCGCGCACCCAAATCAACCATCTCAAGCATCCAACGCGGCACACGATTTGCACGGCATCCGCCCAAAATGGAACATTCTTCGTTTTTTTTTTCGGGTTGACAAATGATCGATTGGTGACAAGTTATCACTGACAACACCCAAAGTACACTCTTTCTGAAATGGACCATGTCGACTCAGTTTGCGATCAATTTCAATTTAGTTCGTCGCCAGTTTCGATTCAAATCGCGACCACTTTCGACTCAGTATTTATGCGAAATCGATCGTTCTTTTTTCTGCGCTCACCATAGAAATAGAAACCATTTCGATCGAATAAGATTTGCAAAGTGACAATTATCTCACTCAGTACGTAAAATACCAAACCAAAAAGACATTGACGAGGGCGCTAGCCTGTCTCCATCTCTTGGACCACATAATTGTTACAACATTTTTCCTCTCTAACTCTTTATCTAACTCAATCTCTTCTTTGTCAGCTTTGATCTCAACCATAGCATGTAAATGTTATATAGTTTTATACAACAACCAAATAAACACTTATGAACGTTTTACATTCAAATCTTGTTATATGTTTGACAATTAAAACAGAAAATAATGACGAAAAAAAAATGCAACAACCAACAAAAAATTGTAATGAATAAAATTGCACAATTGATTTAGGCTGCACCATGCGAACAGCGTCATAAGGCACCTATGACATGCAATGGCAGAAAAAGGCACCAGAGATTGCCACCTAGCTGGCACACTTAGCCTTTTGTTCGCGTCCCCCAAACACACACCTAGAAAAACTGTTTCGTCTTCGTTTTCATCTTTTCCTTTTTCTACACACTTCTCTACTCTTGGCACTTCTCCACCTATGAAACCTATTTTCATTGCAAAAAAAGACGACCATCCAAAATCAGAATCATTTTGGAGGATACTAAAAAAAAAAACCGAAGAATAAATCGGAACAATTGTCTTGAGAGAAATAAGTTTTTAAAAAAAAATCTGGAAAAAAATGTTAAGAAGAAAATCTTGAGAAAAAAAAATTCGGAAGAAAATTTTGCGGAAAATGTCTTTCCAAAAGAAATGTCCTTTTATGACAAAAAAAAAATTCTTTTTCTTCGAAAACAAGCGAGATTTGTTGGCCAAAAAAGGAAACAATTGTAAAAACCGAACTAAATGAACCAAAGCTTGAGTAGTATGTTTCCACTGATTTCGAATGCGACTGAAAAATGATGAGATTGTTTTGCAAAGAAACGAACAACGAGAGAATTCATGGGATTAAAAAAAATGATTTGGCTCAAAGTAATTGAGAGCGTACGCCATTTTTTGATTTCATTTGCAACTCTCTCAATCGAATCGGTTGGCGTAAAAGCTCTGACCCGCTGTGGTTTCAATGGGCAAAAGCTCTGACTCGCGATGATTTAATGGGCAGGGCAAAGGTTCTGCCAACATCGCGCGTACGGTTGCATCCAAGTCACCATTCACACCGATGATCAAAGAGATGGCATAACCAAATGCAAGAACTCTCAGGTACTAAAAAAAAAAACAAATTTTTGACTAATTTATCGACGTTCTTCAAACAGAAACCAGAAAAAATGGGATCGTAATTGGTGTTTTGTTTTCGTTTTTGTCTCTCAGAAATGTGGCGGCGCGTCAGTTCACAAAACGTACGCCCACACGATGATATATATATATATATATATATATGCTATACCGAGCACCGAAAACATTTGTTATTAACCGTGCTACGTAAATGGGTTGGATATGACAAAGATAAAAGAAGAAGAATAAAAGCTTCTCTGTTCAAAAAGAAACAAGTCTTTTGTTGTTAAAAAGTCTTCAGATGTAATATAAAATAAAAAAATCTATTCGTTATTATACATATTATATAGACAATAAAAGAGATTAAAAAAGGAGAACATTTAATGAAAAAAAAAACGTGTAGCAGAAGTGTACATAAGAAAGTGTCCCTCCAGGGAACGAACAAAGTAAACCTGCAATGATACCAAACAAATCAAATCCAAATTAACGATCATTAATATAACCCATGTTGCGACCATCCCCACACTTTCCTCTCTCTTTGAGTTACATTGTTTTTTGTTGCCCTTCTTTTCTATGAATTATCCATTTTTTAAAGACCCTCTTCTTATGTATGTGTACGGGTATTATGCCAATTCGCTAATGAAAAATATTAAAATCAACCACCTGCTGCATGCACTGTGTGCAGCCGGAACAAAAACATACTTTGCTTAATGATGAATTACAACGGGCGAGACACACTTTTCCTCTGCCAATGGCACACTCTGCAATGCATCGTACACACACAACATGTACATGCCTTACACACATTTATCATATAGCCTCCACCCATTTGTTTTTGTTTGAACAAAAATTTCGATGTAAGGAGATTCATCACTTTCATGGGGAGAAAAATCTTGCGAGAAGAGAATCTTAAACGAAGATTCATCTTTCATATATGTGACAATCGACTTTCTGCGTGAGGAGCTCCTCTCTTTGCTAGAGAAGATTTGTTTTTCACATGGGAGATTGATTTCGAATTGATAAAATTGAATAAAAAGCTCGATCTCGGTGAGTAGCTTGATCTCCGTGAAAAGCTGGATTTCCATTCGATCTCCTGTGTGAGGAGATTTTCCACCCATGTCGGGAGATTCAAATGCTCCAATTCAATTCTCGCCCCCCCCCCCCACAATCTCCTCTTTTATGTGAGAATATTTGCAAAATACTTTACCCGCTCCACACATACACACTATTCCACAAACGTATTATATTTGAATCGCATATCCAATACATAAGAATAAACCACAACAAAACCATGTTGATTTTGAAATTTGAAAGACAAAAAGAGCAACCACAAAGACACACCTAAAGAAAAATGACAAAAAAAAATATTGTTTGCATTAGTCAATAGCAAAAGATAAGAAAAAAAAGGTGAACTAGTTGTAATAAACGATTATTATGTTATGGAATATTATGTGTTCAATTCAAATTCAAAATGTACGTTTTGTCTAATCTAAAGAAAAAAAAGATGTGAGACACACTCACATCACATACACGAAATTCGTGTTACGAATCGAAAAAAAAAATCCATTCAAAATATGTGCATTTCGTTTCGCACCGTAAAAACTACGCAAATAAAATGAAAACCTTATTGTAATTTGACGCGTATAGAAACAAAGGGAAGGTGAAGAAGAATGATGAAGAAAAGAAATAAGAAGAAGAAGAAAATATAGGCATAAGCTGATGAGATATCAAATTATTATCACCCATAGATAAAATATATGACAATTTATATATAAAAATGCTTATTGTTGCTAAATTCAATATTTAAAACATGACAAAAAAAAAACAAAAACAAACCAGACATACCAAGTTAGAACTAAATATCGTACCAATTCGTGTACACAGACAAACAACTTTTCGTTGCGAAAAGCAAAACTAATTTTTAGTTAATAATTTATGGAAAATGTGTGTATTTCAAACACAATTTAAACTGATTTAGAAAAGAAAAACCAGACACTTTTTTTTTTGTGAGAAAATACAAAGAGAAAAAATTTAAAATCTAGACGCTGTAAGTGGTGTAATCAAAAAAAAAAAAACAACTGATACATTTTGACTTGAATATTGTAAAATGATGAGAAAAATATAGAATACCGATGATAAATCATTTTGTTGAAAACTATGTTAGGTTAATTATTTTGTTAGTTGATTGGATTTAACATTAATGAAAATTGAAAAGTTATTTAAAATAATATAATTGAGCAAAAAAAGAAGAAATAATTATAATGAATTAGGTCATCGTTGACACTTACACACATGAACACGAACAAGAGGGAACATTTTCTCTCTCACTTTTCAGTCCCGCTTTATATGCAGACGTTCTGTCAGCGTAGCCCTCTTAACTAGTGATCCCAAATCGCACACAATTCTCCTATCTCTTTCACCCTCTCCACCAATGGCCGCGCTTCAAGGTCGCAGAGAGTTTCCGCTACTTTTTCTGGCAAACACCCAAATTCTGATCACTTTTTCACGTATTTTGATCATTTTTCACCACGAACTCTGATCAATTTTTAGCGAATTTTGATGAATTTTCATCGATTTCCGAAGAATTTTGTCAAAAAAAAAAAAATCCGTGCAAAACGAAAAAAAAAGAATCCTCCACACGAACATTTCTTGTTCGTGGTAAAAAAAAACGTAAATAAATTGTTGAATCATTTGAAAGAGAGCGAACAATTAGTGAATATAATATTTTTTTTTTGTTAAAATGAACAAAAAATACAGATCCATTTTCAATCGGACTGAGTGTGACCTAACACATGCACAGAAATAAGAAAAGAAAACCTGCTGGTTAGCCACCCATCCTTTGGTACATAGGAACAGTAAAGAAGAAGAAGCAGATGAAGAAGAAATAAAAAGCGAATGCACGAACTAGACGGCGATTTTCTATGATTAGTGTCAATTATTAGAGTCTATCTCGTTAGTTGAATTATAATTGCCTTACAAATTTGGCCGTTTGTGGAGGCCATGGTGATCGTATCGCATGCGTGTCGCAATTTTGCGCGTCGTCACAGCCATCGCCGTCGCTGTTGCTATCGTTGCTATTTTCCATGGGTTTTAATGTTCTGATCAAAGACGAAATGGCATTTTCGTTTGTAAAAACTGAATTTGGACCTAAAAAAGGGGCGATTTTGAAGCGAAAAATGCCGAATTTGGACACAAAAAAAAGACCAAATTTGAAGCGAAAAACTCTTTTGTGAACAATAGCAAAAAAATATTGAATGTGACAAAATGTGAACAGAATAGAAAATAAAATGAAACCATCTCTCCTTTCGATCTTTGTCATTTCTCTTCTCAATTGCCAATTTTCGACGCAATCCACTGTGTTAAATGTACAACCTAACGGACAATCGGTAGTACCGATTTGCTACAAGCTAATGAATATTTATGTATTCGAACTTAGGATGGAAAATCGGCCAAATGGTTCAATTCGACCAAAGTCTCTTTCACTCACTCTATCGCGCAACCAAACTTTGATTGACTGCAGACAAAGAGACATCAATGTTGGGCGTGAATTTTTTTCTCAATTTCCTTTCACGTATTTGGTTTGTAAATAATTTTTCGTTGTAACACTTGCAAACGAAATCAACGAACCAAGAACCGTTAATTTTGAGAAAAACTAAAGAAAACGGAACAAATTGATAGTGAAATTCTGAATAAATGTGTTCGATTTGAGATAAAAACAAAAAAAGCAAATTAATGTAAACTAAAAGTTTCTAAAACAAAAACAACAAATTGTCAACTAAGATAGATGGATCATAAGGCAAAGCATTTGCATAGCAAATTGTTCGACCAAAACCTAAAATGGCAGATACGACAAAAAAAAAAATTCTCAGCAGTTTTTCTGGTGAGGAAAATTTAACAAAAAAAGAAATAGACAAAGAAAATTCTGCATTCCAAGAGCCATAGAGAGACGCTCTTGAACACTGTAAATGACACGCACACTGAATGCCATTTTATGAAACGCCATTATGGTCCGACGACGTTAAGTACATATCTTCTAACCAAAAAAAAAATGATGATGATAGAGATTTAGAAGACATTTGACAGAAGGAAAATGCAAATCATAAGAGAACGTAGCCGAAAATCAATCGGATTCTAACATATTTTTTCGTTGCATTTTCGTTCCATTCCGAAACAAAAAAAAACTTGTCTATTTTTAGGGAAATACATGAAATTGACTGCAACCATGAAAATACGGTGACCCCACGTGCAAAATACACTGTTGAAGAAAAGAAAAATTTGTTCGAAAGAAGAACAGAGAAAGAATGAAACAAGAGCGAAAAAAAAACTTGAGTTGAAAGAAAAGAAGACAATTTTTTTCACAAATCCGCGTCAAAAATAAAAGCTGAAACAGAAAAAGCGTTCAACACTTGTTAAACACACCGCCATTTGTATACTAGTTATGAGACAAACAAAAAATCGCCATTTAAATGTTCAATGACAACAACAAATGATGAAAATGCCATTTTTTACGGTATTTAATGAGAATTACGAAAGAATACACTTCTTAGACAACAACATTTTGGTGCATCACATTTTTAGCCAGAAATTTAACGATTTATTGATCAGTGAACTCAACTTTCTCTCTTTCACATCCACCTACACACACTCACACACTCTTTCACACGATTCTTTCTAAATGGAATTATTCAGCTGCAAATACCAAAACAAACAGCTGTAATTCACATTCAATATGATTTAACAACAAATGAACTCTGTCAATATTTCCAACAACAACAACAACAAATCTTATTAATTATAATCCTTCAATGTATTATACACGCAGACAGACTTAGTCACCAGTCACTTGCAAACAAAAAACAACAACAAATAACATCAAGGTATATTGTATTGTATTTAAATTTAAAATTAAATAAACGAAAAAATAACAAATAAAAAAAAATAAACAAAAAAAAATATTTGAAAAGAAAAAAAACAACAACAACAACACTTGATCAATGCAATTTCGAGGTTCATTTCACGCACCGTATTTATTACCAACAAACAACAATGACAAAACTAATTCATTGACTTCATTACTGATTAACACATTAAGAAATCAGTTCATTTAGCTTAAAAAAAAATACAAAAACAATACCAAAAAAAAAAATCTTTAATTTCCACATAATTTTTCGATTCTTTACATGAATGTACCAAATAACAACAACAAAACAACAACAACTAAAAATTCTCATTTAAAAAACAAAACTAAACTAATGTACGGTAATATACAAAAATTATAAAATATTAACAAAATACGGAAAAAAACATATGGATTTTGAATTCTTTTGCACTTTTTTTTAATTTTTTCTTTAAATTCGGAATTTCCGAGGAGAGAAGAGCGCCTGGACTCTTCATTGGACAGAAGTTAAACTGAATAATGGTATTTCAAACAAAATATGAATTTTGGTAAGTAATTTGTATCGCTGAACATTTTGATGGTCTCTCTGATGTGGTTCGTATCCCGTCCAAATGTAAATGTTGATGCTTTTCGTTGGATTCGACTAATTAATTTGGAAAGCCCAAATTAGCAAGAGCAAAACAACGGAACAAATGTACAAAACCCAAACAACACTTCGACCATGTCCACATTTTTCAAATGGTTTCAAAAAATTGTTGTTCATCTATCCGAAATGTTGAGCTTGAAGTATGTGTTTAATGTAATGAAAATGCATGGGCAGAGACACCATTAGCTATTTTTTTTTTAAAGTTCATATAAATCAAAAGAATCTATTCATTTCAAACAACCGAATCACACCGGACGATCGATTTGTTTACAGCGAATCGGATCATTCGTTAACCATCAACAATGTTAATGAAACCGATCAAGACGTGTATCTGTGCTATGTGGCACCGAATAACATTACCATGAAGGCAAAATTGGTGGTGCTATCCAATTTGGAGGCGAACATCTATGAAAGTAGTTCAATCACACACCGTCAATATGACGCCAAATTTTTTTTTAAGGAAATATCTAGGTAATGGCAGATTAGCAATAATTGATGTCATTTGATCTGGAAAAATGAACTGAAATATTTAAAAATGGTCGTGCCAAGACGATACAACCGAGCTGTATAAACAACTTCCGTACAATGTGTGCGATTTTTCAGAAGTTTTTCATACATCAAATACCAAGTATCGTTCTAGTCGATGTGCTATTCAATTTTTAATCTTGATGGTAAAGTATGAAGGTCACTTCTTTGAACATGAACTTTTTGCTTAGCAACCGGAAAGTTATTGACTAGACGAACGAATAATGCACATGATTGGTCGTTCACAGCACATATGTTTTGCACCTGTTATTTTGTCTAGATGATGGAATAATTACACAGAGCTAAAGTAATTAAATTTTATTTCGATTTTCGGTTGTTTTGAACTGTCGACATGGGAAGTTTTTATGAAAATCTCGGAGCGCATATGAAATAGCATTGCTTCCTATGGCAACTCCATTTGATTGACAATTCATCGATAAATTTATCACTTTAAAAGACATTAGATTGCAAAGAACGGAATAATCGCTGCGTTTGAAATATTCTTCATTGATAATTATCCGGACCTGTAATCGGAACCGCTAAACAGTTACTGCTTTAAAGAAGGCAGTTTCCTTCTTACCATTTCGTCACGCTGCTTCTCTTTCTGCTTATCCATCGACGACGCAAAAAAGAAAATCAAAGTAAAATTCAAGAAAAAAAACTCTCGAGAAATTGTAGATTGTAAATATAATTTTTATTATTTTTTAACTTTTACGCAGTTCCTATGGTACTATATATATACTGAAAAGCGATGTTCAATGTTCATCCTAAATTGTTAGCTTAAACGGTTTTTTTTTCTCGCTTTTTCTATGTTGTTGTTGAAGTTTTTTCTTCTTCCTTCGTTTGTTTTTTTTCACACATTTACAAATTCATCATTCATTCGTTCATTTGTAGTATCAATTTACACAAGTTTATATGATTTTAGTATCGAAAAATGCGATTGTTTCAAACCAAATGAGCGAATGACGCTCAAGAGCTTCGGTTCAATGGCTAAATCACCCCATGGATCCAACATTTCTGCTTTTGCTACCTTTGAACCTCTAGTATGATCCCTTACGAACATTTTGAGTACCGACATGACCAAGTATAGTGAAGTTTTCATATATTTCTAGCCTCATATTCCGTTGCTTCGATCACAACTCTCAAAAAATCGACTTTTCGTCGAAAAATCCTCAAATACACACTTTTTATGGTTAGTGTCTTGGCAAAAAGTTATTTTTTCTCGAGAAATATTGGAAATCTACTCATACAGAAGCACTTAAGAATGATTTTTGGGGTACCAAATAAAATAAAATTTAAAATATGTGCTTGAAACGTTCATGCGCGTTGTGTGTGTGTAGTGGGTGATTTGGGGTGATTTGATTTTATCTATTACGGCTACTGGAGAATAAGCGAACTGCATTTCAATTTATTTTGATTTGCCATTCATTCCCTATTTATTTCGAAATATTTATAGTTTAGACAGTAATAAAAATAAATTTGTATTAAGATTTGTTTGTTATACACAATAGCTGGGGGAGGAAAAGGGTGGTTTTATTTGTTTCAAGCACACTAAAATCTAGCCAAATAGTCGTGTTGACCAATTAATTGAATAAATAGTTAGAAGCGCCGCGAAGGAAATGGCACACGATGACACCATTGTGGTGGTCGCTGAATTCATTTTCTTGTCTGCAAAAAGAGAAAGGGTTTTATTTTAGTCAATTGTTCTCAATCCATTGTTCATAATAATGTGAGTGGATGAATCAAATTTTGAGTCAAACCAAATGGATGTTCGATAATTACCTGGAACTGGTATATCCTCCAGATTTGAATACCCCGACCATCCTTCGGTATTCATCGATTTTACACAAACATGCCAAGCGCCTGACGCCAACGCCAATTTATGCTTGATTCTGCGGAAAGAGAGTAAAAACAATTAGAACAAATTTCAATGTATCAACTTAAAGGAGAAGCAAAAATTTGAAATTTAAACATTTTAAACGAAGCAAAAATTCGACAAAAAAGAGCGTCAATTCGATTGAAATAAGATTAAATTTGATTGAAAAGAAAATTCATCGATACTAACTTCCAAATGCCGGTATGTTCTTTGCTTTGCTCTTGATCGATGACAGCTTCTTGAAGCCAGTCTCTTTCCTGCAATGGAACGAAAATGATGAGTAAATTGCTTGATTGGTTGATTCCCTATTGTTAAGTGACAAAATGTTTGAAAAGTTTCAACCGAACAAAGAAAAACTTACTACTTCAAGTTGATAGTTCAGCATAATTTCCTGAAGTTTTTGCATGCTGGGAACGTGCCAATGAGTGATGACCGTATCACCTTCACGTTCGACTTGGTGCAACTTTGGCGGTTCCGGCACATAGGTCAGTTCGATTGTAACTTTTGCGGTTCCAATCTCATTGTCAACACGGCATTCGCATGACGCCAATTTATGCTTGATTCTGCGGAAAGAGAGTAAAAACAATTAAAACAAATTTCAATGTATCAACTTAAAGGAGAAGCAAAAATTTGAAATTTAAACATTTTAAACGAAGCAAAAATTCGACAAAAAAGAGCGTCAATTCGATTGAAATAAGATTAAATTTGATTGAAAAGAAAATTCATCGATACTTACTTCCAAATGCCGGTATGTTCTTTGCTTTGCTCTTGATCGATGACAGCTTCTTGAAGCCAATCCAGTAATGGAACGAAAATGATGAGTGAATTGCTTGATTGGTTGATTTCCTATTGTAAGTGACGAAATGTTTAAAAAGTTTCAACCGAACAAAGAAAAACTTACTCCTTCGAGTTGATAGTTCAGCATAATTTCCTGAAGTTTTTGCATGCTGGGAATGTGCCAATGAGTGATGACCGTATCACCTTCACGTTCGACTTGGCGCAACTTTGGCGGTTCCGGCACATAGGTCAGTTCGATTGTAACTTTTTCGGTTCCAATCTCATTGTCAACACGGCATTCGTATACACCCAAATCCGTTGATTTCACATTGTTCACCACCAAAATGGATGTTTTTTTGTTCGGTGACTTTGGTGCTCGGTAAATCACTGAATACTTTGATCGTGGCTCGTGTGTTCTGATTTGTAATTTCTGTTGATTCTTGTACCATACGACGTGGCTTTCGGTCGTTGAATCATAATCACAATACAATTCAGCATTGTCACCTTCTTTCGTGTTAATCACCGATCGATGGGCAGAAACGCGTGGTATGTCTGTGTGGATATGGTTGAGGTGAATTAGAATTGAATCATGGTTGACAAGTACACCTTAATTCGATTCCATATTCATTAAAATTTAATTAAGTTCAGCAACACTGAATTTGTGATCAGAATTGCATGGGCTCATACGGAATAAAAGTGTCTTACGAGCCCATGCCTGTCAAAATTCAGTTTGAAAAATCATTTTTTTTATAATCAAAAATGCAAAGAAATATCAACCACTCACATCTAATAGTAGCGCTGTCATATTCCAACGGTTCGCCATCATCATAGGCTGTTTTTTTTTTTTTAAATTTAGACAGATTTTAGGGAAAATTGAAAAAAATGAAGAAAATTTAAAAGAAAAGGAAAAACAAATTTAAATGGAAAGAAAATAGAAAAGAAGTTGAAAAACTTGTCAATGGTGACATCAATTATTGCTAATCTGCCATTACCTGGATATTTCCTTAAAAAAAATTTGGTGTCATATTGACGGTGTGTGATTGAACTACTTTCATAGATGTGCGCCTCCAAATTGGATAGCACCACCAATTTTGCCTTCATGGTAATGTTATTCGGTGCCACATAGCACAGATACACGTCTTGATCGGTTTCATTAACATTGTTGATGGTTAACGAATGATCCGATTCGCTGTAAACAAATCGATCGTCCGGTGTGATTCGGTTGTTTAAAATGAATAGATTCTTTTGTGTTTCCTTTTGATCACCCTTGTACCATAGAATTACATTTTTGGCTAAAGAAAGAGCAAAGAGGAAAAACAACAGAAATTTTAAAATTGAAAGTAAATGCATGAGGTGGATGATTTCCATGCCATTACTTACGGATCAAATTTTCAATTTCACATTTCAACGTCACTGATTCGCCAGCTTTCACTGTTTCTGTGTAGTCGGAAAATTTAAAGAAGGCTGGAGCATTAGACTCAACACAGTTGCCTGGTTTTTGGTTTGAATTTTGGTCGGATTCGTCATCATATTCCAACGGTTCGCCATCATCATCGGCTGTTTTTTTTAAAGATTTAGACAGATTTAAGGGAAAATTGAAAAAAATGAAGAAAATTGAAAAAAATGAAGAAAATTTTAAAGAAAAGGAAAAACAAATTTAAATGGAAAGAAAATTGAAAAACTTGTCAATGGGGACATCAATTATTGCTAATCTGACATTACCTTGATAGTCTTTGTTTAAATCTTCTTCGGCTTCGTTGGTTGGCTTCAACATTCCTTCAAAACAATAGAAAAATACACATTTTAGTTTGAATAAAACTCAAAAATTCAATTCAAATTGAATGAATCTTCCTCTGAATTCAAAATTATGAAATTCAAACCTCCTGTTTCGTCTTGAGTACTAAATCAAATGAATGATGAAAAAAAGCTACTCGCGGGTGCGTGTTAGCGCCGGTTAACGACATATCGTCCCATTCAATTTGCGATTATGTCAGAACGCACGCACATAATTCTTTATTCGACATTCGTTTCGGTTTATAAAATTGTCTCTTCTGTTTTTCCCCTGTGCGATAAATATTTATGTCACACTTTTCACATGAAAAAATGTCACACTTTTTTGAATTAAAATGATCAAAAATTTTCAATAAAAAATCATGAAAATATTCTGTAAAATTGAATGAAAATAATTTTGGCTAAAGTATCTATGAAATTTCTGCAAAAATGCACAAAGTTTTTCATCCGAACTGACCATAGTTTTTTTTGGTTAAAAAAACTATGAAATTTCAATTATATTTACCGAAATTTCATAGTTTTTTCAACCAAAAAAATCTATGGTCAGTTCGGATGAAAAATTTTATGCATTTTTGCAGAAATTGCGGGCTCGCCAACAATTTAGGACAGATCTTCAACAATTAGGCGAATTCATATAAGCACCATAGGAGAAACTAGAAACAAAATTGGAAAACCACGCACCGAAAATACTTTCAACAACAAAACTGACATTCATTGTTTTCGATATTACAACTGTGAAAACGGCTTCAAACTGAAACTCAATGGGTGCAGTTGGTCCTTAGAAATTTATTCAATTCACAAAACCATCAATATGTTGTCTATTTGAAAATTTCGTTGATGAAAAAATTGAATTGATTTTCTCCCCATATGAAGAATTTTCACATTAACTTTTGACTGGCGAAGTTTTCGGTTTTGCATATTTTACCAATGACATTGGTTTCAATGAGTTCAAGTAGACTCCAGGCGCTCATTCAATTTATAAAACTATCAAAAATGGTCCGATTTGAAAATTTCGTTGAAAAAAATGTTGCATCGATTTTCTCCTTATATGAAAGATTTTTTATTCCAACTTTTGATTCCAACTTTTGATGGTAAATTTAATTAAATTCAATTAAAAATTCGATTTATATCGCTCCCGTACAAAAATGACTTGAATTGTTTTTCACGAAGAATTGAAATACAGTTATTCTCGATACTTTTTAAAACTGAATGAGTTTCTATAGTCCAACTGAACACAATAAATCCATTCATAACCCTAAAATATCAAAAACAAAAAAATTCGTTAGTCAAAAGTCGATGTCGAAAATATCCCATATTGGGGAAGAAATCGATTCAAATTTTTTTCAGTTAAATTTTCAAATCTCTCGTTTTTGCTAGTTCATTAAATTGAATGACTGCCTGGGGTATATCTGAATACAATGAAACCACTTCCGCAGTTAATATATCGAAAACAAAAAAAATTTGCAATCAAAAGTTGGAATCAAAAATCTTTCATATAAGGAGAAAATCGATGCAACAGTTTTTTTCAACGAAATTTTCAAATCGGACCATTTTTGATAGTTAAATAAATTGAATGAGCGTCTGGAGTCTACTTGAACCCATTAAAACCAATCACATAGCCAAAATATGCAGAACAAAAAAGGTTTTCGTTCTAAAGTTATCGTTCGAAGATCATTCATATTGGGAAAAATTGACTTAAATTAGTTTCAACAAAATTTTGAAATGCACTCGTTTATGATGGTTTAATGGATTAAATGAGTTTCTAGGGCCTAACTGATCTTATCGAATCCGTTTCGGAGTTTAAATAATTCGAAAGAAAAATTGTTGTCATTCAAAATTTGATATCAAAAATTCTTCATACGAGGAAAAAATCGAATCATTGAAATCCAGCCATTTTTTAGAGTTTTATTTCAAAACTTGATATGATGTACCACATATTGAGAGAATTATTGCTTTTCAATGCCGTACATGTTTCCTATTAGCAAATGTTTGAAAACGTATTCAAGAACACTCATTATTTCTAAAAAAAAATTTATTCTAACCAAAAAAAATCACGGTCAATTTCACTGAAGATTTTTGATTGATTTTTCAAAAAAATTATATTTATTTTAACCAAAAAATTGTTCACATAATTTTACTGAAAGTTTTCGGTTCTTTTTACCGAAATGTTCTATGTAAAATAACTGAAAATCAAAGTACAGATAAACCTTAGCACTAGCAATCTGTGCCATTTTTCATAAGGCGTCTCCACTCGCATTGAGTTTGTATTGTGAATGTTAAGGTGCGTGCAACGCCCTTCAATGTAAAAAAACAATACAAGTGGAGATGATACACGGGATTTATCTGTACTTTCAGTTAATTTAACCAAAATTTTTAAGTTAAAAAAACGGAAATCGTCTTGGTTAAAATAACCATGACTTTTCTTGATATGGCATGCACGGCACAACACACACGTACTCATCGCTCAGGATATATTCAGATTGCAATAAAAAAAAGAACTTATGAGAAATTAGTGCTATTACTAGCAATAATTGTTGTTGTATTGCCGAACGTTTTTTCTTTCCAATGATTTGGTTTTTTGTATTGCCTCAATACGTTCGAATTGCCGTTTGTTCAACTACACCACTAAAGCGAGAAACGTCACTCATTCTTTTTTCTTTTTTTTTAAAGAAAAAGAATTTTGGCAGTGCGGGACTCGAACACCGCATACTCTCTCCTCAATAAACTATATCGAAGAGTGGTTGTCTCGTAAAATAAAATACCACTCAAGAGAAAAAATACCCTTCGATTCTGCGGTGTACGTATCGCTCACGCTATGCGTTCGCTCTTTTTCTGCCT